GGAGAAGGGCTATCTTAGACATCCACCAAGCAGGCTAGAGTCCAGTACCTTTGCGATACTAAATGGAAGAAAAGGATAGACAAACAACGAATATTCTATTCCTTCAGTTCTCCCTTCACCAACCCTGATGATATTTTCCGAACAAGGCCTACCAATTTTAGGATGAAAGACGAGTTTCTCGATACAGGCACCGAAACAATGCATCTTCCAGGATAATGAAAGCAAAATCAACTGAAGGAAAGGGATGTGAGCAAATCGCGAGTCAAAATACTTGCTGTAATTGCTTCCTATGGAGCATTATCGCTTTTCACAGTTAATTGAGCCAAGTATTCGAAAAACATACGAAATAACAATAAGCTCAATTTTCAAATATATCAGCGAAAAAAATCGAAGGAGGAGGAGCGAAAAGGTTTTCCCATGTGAAAGAATATGTTGATGCTAGAATCAAGCTTAACTCAAAAACTGGTTTTTTTTTCAATTTTTTTGATCGGCTCACTGGTTCGACCCTATGGCCAACCAGCCAAAAAAATTAATAAGAGTAGATGAGCAGATCATCACACTGGCACTGGAATCTATACGATGCGCTGTAGTGTTGTATTCATCGTGGAATGGTGATTATGTCCAAGAATGTAGAATTCGATTGGTGTGGTGCGCTCGTTTGACTGAACGAGCGAGCACAAGAGAAAGGCGACAACAAAGTAAAAAAACAATTGACTACTTCTTCGTCAGTCTCGAGCACATTGAGCAACGTTGACACTCCAGCCTACGTACAAGCGTGAAAACATGGTTAATCCTGGGAATTTGTTTTCCTTTCCCCAAAACAGAGTTCTGTTACAAAGAAGAAATAAGCCAGACGCTTAGCTGGAGGACGTTTCGAACAGAAGTTCATTTTCTGAGGAAAGTGTTGATGGGCTAACGAAATAAGGGCATGAGCTTTTGTGAGGAAATTAAACTCGAAGAATGCACCACAGCAAAAACGAAGAGACGTCTCTGTCTTTTCGCAGTTTGATCAGTTACTAAGTGAGCCGCCTTACGCGAATGCGTGCTTAAAACAGGCCCTCTCATCAATAGTGTTCAAAGATAGTGCAGACAAATCGCAGTCAGATTAACTGTTCTTCACCTTCGTACGCAACCATTTTGTTCTGATTCTATATTCGAAGCAACAACCTCAGATCAAATTGGTGAGGTAACAACAGTCGATAGTGAAATTGTGGATGCCGAGCTGAGTAAAAATGAAAAAAAAAGAAGTGAAGCAAGCCATCGATGAAGTCTTGAACTAGGATTCTTTATCTTACCACTGAAATGAGGGGGGGGATGGCGGACGAGTTGCCCGAACTCGCTTGCTCAATTTCTTCACTAAGCCGTGCATATTCGAATTAGCCGCTTCACATCAATTCACGTCGCGTGTCATGGGGTGTGTGTGAGACATCTCGTCCATTGTCTCACACATTAGCTGTCACGAGCTCACCTTTTAACGCTTCAGCGCCATTGTCGAGCACTTTTGAGCAGCGATAGCGGTACGGCTGTGATACTCGCAGATTGTGATACTTTACTCTACCCACGGAATAGGTTGTTCAAACGCGCCTTCATGTAGGGTTGCTGCTTTAAGCAGCATCCATGTATAAAAATCTGGCGTAGGTAAGGCACTGGCAAATTGGTTCTCCTACCACACAAATGAATTGGTAGATGGTCACGGGTTCAATATTGCTTTTGAGCTCTCTAGTATCGGCTATTTGACAAGCAAATCACCTTGAAGGTAAAAATTTCTGTATGTCGGCCGTTCAACGGAAACCAACAAAAATTTATATATTTGGAACTCTGCTTAGTGATCCAAGCAATGGCGCCATTCAAACAAAGACTGGAGTAAGGACATCACTGATACCATCGTATTCAAGTACACCCCAGAAAATCTGGTTCTGATGCATAGTCAAGAGAATATTTCGGCTATAAAAACGTGAAAGACTTCGATGCAAACGCGCAAAGTTCAGGTAGTAGACGAAGCGGACCGAGACAGCGGCGGCTGCTTTCGATCAACAAACAACAGGGCAGGCGCCCGCTGGCGGAAATCACGTGTAGAAGTCGAAAAATTATCACAAGGGAGACCGATCAGCTCAGTAGTCGCTTTACGGAGTGAATTCGTCACCGCAGAATTACACAGCACGAAGTACTGAGACATAAAATAAGCAGCAGTTAGATAAATTCATGGTTTTTCTACTATACTTGCCGTGGCTTTAATCTGTGGTGTAAACCAATTACCAGGGAAGGTCTATAGGTCAACCCGCCCAACTGAAACGAGATTTAGAGCATTCTATGAGCGCCTTGAAACGCTGAGCATAAATCTGCTCACCTTACCTGCAAATTGAGTTATGAAGCGGAGATAAGACAGTTGCCGGATGAGCTCCTGGCGAGCTTGCTCTTTCGTCGTTCTCATTAACTTAGCTAGGGAAACTCATGACATCGCAAGGTTAGCATTCTTGCGTGTATTAAAGAGAAATCTACGCTAGGCAATAGTAGCGCAAGTGCCAGGTATTTTTGCTTCGGACAAGTGTGACATCCGATCAGAGAGTCATTTTCCCTTGAGGCAATCTTCTACCCCATCTGTTTTGACCTGACATCGAAAAACTGGGCAGTCCATTTATTTACCAACCCATCTCCAGGGTTGCATTGGGATGGAATTACTCTACCATAGTTGAGAAAAGACCAAATCAGTGTTTGGCTTTCGTGTCTCCACCATGCTAGGAGCTACATTGCATCATATACGACCCCTCCCTTCCCCGATTCCCCGTAGTCCACGATCGGTCAAAGACGACGGGAATCGGGGAAGGGAGGGGGTTGTAGAGTTGCTGCTTGTGATACAATCAGGTCAAAATCTCAGTTTTGGCCAAAAACTTTCCTATGGGGGTAGCTTGACCCCTTGAACGCAAATATCGTACCAATTTCAGGAAAGATACTATTATAAAAAGTGCGGTCACCGAAAAAAAAAACTCTTTGTAACTCTTGAAATAAGTTTAGCAGATAATGATAGCAGATCGGAGCTCAGCGTCCAAGATGCGTATAGAAATGCAAATCGCATCTCATTTGGCCGGGTCGACCTAATGACTTTTCTTGGTTGGAAGATCCTCACTGCCTCGCTCGTAGGTGCGAGGGAACATTAATTAGTTGCGAAAACTACGCGGATAAGTGCGAAGCGACCTCATTAAGGGCGTAGCCATAAGGGTCACCATGCCACCCAAACATATGTACTGGTCACGTAAAACGGCAGTCAGATAGAAAAACAACTTAAACAGAAGAGTTTTCCATCCTCATCCCATATCATTTGCTAGATCGACTGTTGAAATTAGCATGATTGCATTTGTAGACCTGAAGAAGGACTTAAAGCCCGAAACCTCGTCACATGAAAGATTTTGAACAGTTTTATATCGAGAGCAATTGAAGAACAGAGGGTGTTGTATTTCATAGGAAGAATACCTCCTAAGAAAAATGCTAGTTTCACTCTTTTATCTAATATCACCACTGAACTAATAAGTAACTACATATCATGAAAACCTAAGCGTTTCGGTATTCAGAAACTGCAAAAGGACGCATGAATATTTCCACTACATATGAAATATTTGGGCGGAAGTGGTGTAGTGGCAAGTGGCACGCTTACCACGCGAGCGGTCCGGGGATCAAATCCTGGGTCGTGAGTCGCCCGGGCCAACCAAGCCTTCCATCCCTCCGGGGTCGGTTAATTGGTACCAGACTTGTCTGGGAGGATAAAAACACTGACTTGTACATCGGCTGGCCCCCGCAAGTCATTGTATAGGCCACATCGCATTCAAACGCCACTACGAATGTACAAATGGAAGTAGAATGCGTGCCGCATCCCAAAAGGGATTGATCAACGGCAAATGCTTTATCCTTTATCCTTTATGAAATATGTGAATCTAGAAGTCCCGCGTGAGCATCTTTCTCTAGCTGAACTACTGTCCTCCCTCTAGCAAATCAGGTAGAAATATGGCCCTCATGTGCACCTGTAGGACTTTTCAGGACCTCTGGTTACCCCCCCCCCCTCCCTCTCCCTCCGACACTATGGAACGCCTGTGGTAAAATGGATCACCCTGAGGGAAGATCATTGACTCGTATTCAAGCTAGCATAGAAGTAGTCCATATGAACAGTGAGCCTTAGCAAACTTTGTTGTCTTATCATGCCTTCCAATGTACCTACTAGTTTTTCTGAGGTTTCATACCACTCGTCGTCTTATGTAGCCTTGGACACATTTTCCCAGGAGGACATCTTTTCATGTTGATTATTCATACCCCTCAAACTTCCTTATCCGCACCGCTGTTGTCAGTTTAACCCTTTCGGCCCTGGCGGTGGCAATTGCCACCACCAAATTCAAACGCTTGCATTGCCGCTGAAACAGCATGGTTTTTCTAATCCTGCTAGAGGTTGCTTCAGTCAACCTTCCCCTTCCTAATTATGAGCTAAACCTGCCATTTCATTGTGTGTTGCTGTTAGTATTACAAGTATTTGTGTACAAGTGCAACAATGAATCGGCGCTGGTCCCCGCAACCGGCCAAGTAAGTGTCACTTTTCCTTA